TCGAAATCATCATCGAGACTGTTGAAGTATCTATATTATAAATTAAATATATAAAAGGAATTTATACGGTCATTTAGGTTTTTTTTTTTTTTTTTTTTTTTACTTAATCGATACACCTAAAATAAAAAATGGTGGGTAAAAAAAATAATGGGACTGTTTCCGGAAAATGTTTCGTATATTGGGCGGGCTAATATAAGATTCTTCGAAAGGTTTAATATCACACAAAGAGTCCATTACTATGGATTGTAAATAAAACATCCGCAATACCTGGAATTTTATTGTTATGTACCCTACTTTTCATTTCATTGACTGGTCGGAAATCCCCTTAACATGTATAAATATAAGAATTTTTCCCGATAATTTCAATTAATTGGTACAAAAATTAGATTTATTGATAATGGTATAATTAGATATGAATTTATTTCATGCATTTCCTTCAATTGGGAAGTACGCCATTACCAGACCCCGGATTTTTATGCTGTGAAAAATCACAAAATATGCTATATAATGAAATATGAAATAAAAACCAGTAATAAAACATATTATGAAGCGAAATAATCTCCTAATCTCCAATAATAAAGCTAAAATATTCAAATATAACAATGTTGCTACAGACAGTTATTAACTATGCAAGGTTTTGAAGGAATGATTTCAGATTAAATAAAAATTGTTTCTTTTTTCTATCGACCGAAATGATTAAAACATAATGTTATAAAAGACAAAAAATACAGATAAGCATAAATTACGGTCATAATCATTTTAGGGCATAGGCATGGGATGTTACTGTAACATTTTCACAAAACCGACTTACCGGAAGTGGTACTTTAATTGATTTTCCAGTTGTTTTTTTTTGTTTTATCGAAAACAGCTCTAACGAATTTGATTATTAAAATCAATTAATTGATCAATCTACAAATAAATTTTATTTATTATCTGCGTTGTCTTTTCCTTATTGGGGTAATCTGGCATGGCTAAAATACTAAATTTTTCAACAACAGCTTCCCCTAAAGGTCCATTATTTAATTTTGTTTATTTGAAATAGATATCTGTCCCGCGCAATGTTCGCAAAGTCGTACGGCGGCAATTTCGGTGGTATAGATATAGAAGGGAATATTGAGGAAGGAGATGGTCCGGGGTGGCGGTCATAAATAGACTAAATAGTGGCAAAACTATTTTATTAAAAGCCAACGTTTCGACCCGACTTTTTAGATCTTCTTCAGGAGGTAACTGAATTAATAATTTTAATTAATTAATAAAATAGTTTTGTCACTATTTAGTCTATTTAGGACCGCCATTCCGGACCATCAATAATAATACAATAACCTTCTTTAATAATACAACGGTCAACTATCAAGTATTCAATAGAAGGAAATGTGTTTGAACACGTAGAGACATTTAGATATCTAGGATCTAAAATAACTAGAAAAAACGAAATTGCAGATGAGATTAAGGTTAGGTTGAATGCGAAAAATGGTTGTTATTTTCCTCTAACGAAATACTCAACTCGAGTCTCCTGCCTCGAAACTTTAAAATTAGAATTTACAAAACTATCATCCTATTTATTGTTCTTAATGGATGCGAAACCTGGTCGCTTAAAATAAGCGATGTGCAACGTTTTAAGGTTTTTGGAAATAAATTATTACCTATAATATTCGGACCGGAGAAGGATGATTCAACTGGGGAATTTAGACTGTTACACACCGCCGATTGCGTGAACTGTAATCCCGATTAATATAATTCAGGTGATTACATTGCGTTGAATGAAATGGGCATGTAAAATTGTTGAGCTTAGTAACGAAAGAATCCTTAAAAAGTTAATATTTGCTGTGCCGACTGGAAATCTTCCGAGGGGTAGATCGAGAAGAAGGTAGGGGGAGGATTGCTTTAAGGCTGATCTGGTGGAGTGGGGGTTGGACAGCGACCGGTGGAGGTAGCTTTGTAGACAGAGATCGTTGGTGTAGGCATCGAACCTTCAGGTTCGCTAAGCCTTTTATTATTATTATTTATAAGATCCATGCTTAGCGCAATACGTAAATTTATTAAGCTAGTTGTAGAAGTGGGGTGTGTGGTCACAGTCAATGAGGAGAAAACCAAAGTAAGGGCATTAAGGTGAATGAAACCCGTACATCTTCAACTTACACGTTTTTCAGCGATTACACGACCTTCGAAATGGTCAACAATTTCAGTTACCCTGATCAATGAAGATGAAGAGATAATAGCAAGATCAGTTGCAGGAAAAAAAAAACATATTTTGAGCTAAATAACATATTCAGAAGTAGATTGTTATGCAAGACGACTAAGATTAGGCTGTACAAGACGCTTGTTAGATCTGAAATAACGTATGAATGTGAGACATGTACGTTCAACAACACCATTGCTGAAAAAATTGACAGATTTGAAAGAAAAGTCCTTAGACGAACCTTCGGGTCAGTTTTTTTTATTATTATTTATTTATTTAGAAATATAACAATCTGTCACGTGGACAATAGATATGGTGATATATGAACACATTCATACCATATATACAGAAAATATAAAATTAACAAAAGTAAAATAATAATCAAAAACTATGTACAATAAAAAAAAAATAATAACCTTAAGATAAGTAAATTAAAAAAACATAAAAACACAGTATACCTTTATACAATATATACAATTAGGCAGGGAACCCAAACCAGGCTTCTCCCTCCAACCATAGAAGGAAAAGCAGGACTATAAGAGATCCCTGCGCTACTCTCTCAACCACATCACTGGTGCTAAAGCCAGTGGAGTTTGAGCGAGAGCGCTTTAGTCGGGCCAGTTTAAGAGTTAGAAAGATGAAGAATAAGCACAAACTAGGAAGTTTACCGGCTTTATCAGGAACTATCAGCTTCCATGTTCGTAAAAGTTCAGCATCTTAAATCGCGTGTCAACAGGATTGATAAAAAACGGGCAGCAGAAAGTCTATACATGTACGATCCAGATGGAGTACTCTAGAGAGGAAGACTAAAAACTAGATGACGGGACAATGTAAACAGTGACGTTCGAAAGCTGGTTATAATTATCACTATGACCACGGGCGGATCTACGGGGGGGGAGGGGGCTTTCGGCTGAAGCCTCTCCCCAAAATGGAAAAATATAACCATGTTTATGGAGAAAAAAATACCTCTTAAAGTATTATTATTCGTGTAATTACATTTAAAAGTACTTAAGGAATAACTTAAACACCATTTCATATAGGTAGTTAGTTTCTTTCTGTTTTTCCAAAGTAATTATCGCTATTTTTATGAAAAAAAAAAAGGTTTCGGGCTGAAGCCCTCCCCCCCAAAAAAATTAAATCCTGGATCCGCTAGTGACTATGACAGAAGATAGATCACAGTGGGAAAGGCTGTTAACCAGGCTAAGAACAACTATGTGTGTCTATTGACCCTTCTGAAGAAGAAGATTATTATTTATTACAATATAAATGTATAATAAACCCTTTAAGAAACATTTCAATAAAAATCATAAATTCATCAATACAATCATAAATAAAAATCACTTAAGAAGTTGTAAAAAGTAATCGAGAGTTACAAAATGTGCATATATTTTAAAGGGGTTAGACATATGGCAACGATTTTAATAACTTTATATTACTTATAAACTAGGTAGCGGGGTAGCTATTGGGCATTGACTTCCAAAGCTCAAGATACAGAGTTTGAGTCCAGCTGATTTCTGATAGTTATTTATTCTGGTTTATAAGCCGTGGATCGACCTATCCTGGAGTCGGGAGACCCTCCTTGGGCACTCCCAGCCTCATTAAAGTAGGTATTCTTAATTAAATATTTGGTTAACAGGAAAAACCTGGTGGTTGACTGTGATTTAGGTCATATCGCTTCTTTTATAACCATTGACCAAGAAGCATCAGTAATTCCTTACATCGTACTGAACAAATTGAACCCCAAGACCCTATATGGGTTGTGGTGGTACTGGTTTGTTATATATAAACTAGCACTACGTGAGTTGTAATTAATTTATATTCAAGGTAGGGTGGTAAGTGATAGTTGCGCGAAGCGCGCACCGCACCATATTTTCTTCTTGTATTTAATGTGGAAGATTATTTATGAAAGCTTGGACAGTGTTATAATTCATCCTTGTAATCAGTGCACTGATAATCAATGATAAAACGAAGTAATTATAAGGTAGTTTGTTTGGTGCTATAGATGTTCGTTTATATGATAAGAAAGGTTATAAACTTGAAACAATAGAAAGCTATGACATCATTTATTCCTAACTCGTGACAGTCTAATGAACTTTTAACTATTAATGGCACGGGTTTTATTTTTCTATTTGTCACATTGAAAAGAATAAGCTGAAGTTTTTGTTTGAAGTCAATAAATTTACAAATATTTACTGTCCTTACACTATTCTTCTCTTTTAAATAAAACAGTTTTTATGGACCAGAAATAAACATTTAAAGTAGCAATGTCACACTCGACTGTCACTGCAATCATTCAGTCATTTTAAATTGAATTATTTTTCTTTATGAAATATTTATAATGTAATACAATGTTTTTTTCTGTCGTTTATATCATGAAAAACGAATGAGTCAATTTTCAACTTAATGAGACATTATTTGTTTATTTATTTTATTTTACTTTTGTTATTGTATTTTCTCTTTTGTATGTATGTATTGTACGAATGAACACTTGTAGCCCTAATACTTGCGCCCTTCAATGCTACAGACTATTATTCAATACGACAGATTATTATTCAATAATCTTGTGTATTTAAAACAAAAAAAAAATAAGACACTAAGATTTAATTTTAATTGCGATTAATGTGTTACTTTACATATAACTGTAGTTCGTGCCACACTAATGAATAGTAAAGGTGTTTTTTAACAAAGCTAAATAATAGTAAATAAATGAATAATAAAATACAAGTAAAAATATTTTTTATTCTATTATATTTTTATTAGTTCAGTCGTTATTTTATGCCATTTTTTATTTGTTTCAGGTTTGACCGTCTTAACCTAAGCAGATACAGCAGCCACTATTCAGGAGTGCCATGTAGCCTTTATGTCAATTGGACGTACTATTCAAAATAAAATGTTAAGGTGATTATATTTTCCAAGTTAAGGAATACTCCAAAAATGAGTAGAGATTCAATTCTAGAAATTCAACATAAAAGAGAGCAAAGCCATGACTCAGGGACATACCAGGACTGGACCCTCGAGGAATCCTTCCAGCATAGCCCTGGCCAACAGTGCAAGAACTCAGATTTCGTGACCGTTGTCGCAGTTGACGAGAAACCTTTCGTGACAGTCCTCTCTGTCGAAAATGGCACTTCCGACTCCGAGGATGTACTAGTCTACAGGCTACCAGGAGAGAGGTTGGGCTTCGGGCTGAAATTTGATGGAGGTATAAAAAATGCGGAGAAAGTAAAAAAGTTATTGATACAATCCTGTGCTGACGACAGCCCTGCATCGAGAACCAGAGCTTCTTGGGGTCCTTTAGCTCCAGGTGACGAAATCTTGGTTATAGATTCTGTTCCTGTTTCGGAAATGACAAGAATGGACTGCGTTAGGGCTCTGAAAGAATCTAACGTCGTTATAAAGCTTCGGGTGAGGAAGGGCCCTGGCAAGGAAGAGGACAAGGAAGCCCCGCCCATTCCACCGCGGAAGTTTCCAAGAAAGAAGGAAAATGTGGAGCCTCCTCCCCCACCTCCATACGTTCCACCTCAGCCAGTGGAGGAACCGCAAAAGAACAGTCCTCCGGTACTGCCCCGTTCGCGCCAGTTACCTCAAGCTGAGCTCTATACTGACCTCATAGCCCAAGAGAGCATATTACCCACAGAATCGGAATCTGATGATACTGGTAGCAGCATCTCCACCGTGGTCAGCAGGATATCTTCCACACCGACCACATGTAATTCGAGCTTCTCCGATGGGAGATCTATCGATCTGGCACCGCCTCCGGTCCCTGGAGCTAAGCCGACAGCCTACGACTTGGACAAAGTACTAGAACCGTTCCTTAGGCTGGAGCGAGAGTTCTCCTCCTCGGCTATTAACGAAGCCAATCTGTTTCATAGCTTGGCGGAGGCATCAAATCTCAAGTCACCTTCTCCTCTTGATGAAGAGGAAAGCGCCCCTAAGCCAGCCCCACGACAAGAGCGAAGACGCCCGCCGCCACCTCCACCTCCGAGGACAGATAGGCACGAACAGCGCCACCTACCGCGGCTCATCGACTTCGTCCCCAAGGACAGGACTGACCTTGTTGTGCCGAGTCCTCTTGTCCCGTCTCAGCTGCCAGCACAGTGAGTTTTATTTTGTTTTATTTAGTTGCAAATAATTTTTGTTAAGCTATTTGTTTCCATCATTAATTTTTTCTCAACCCTATATTTATATGAGAAACATTAAATTAAAAAAAAAATCTTATCTCATTATCCACTTCCAAGTTTACAATTTTCAGTCAATTCTTTAGTTAAAAAAACAGTAATTCATAACTGAAATTTATCGCTAGAACCATAATGCCAGTAGAATCTCCATCATGTCTTTGTTCTTTTTTTCTCCCAATAACATCGTAATGGACCATTTCGAATCCCTTTAATTATCCTGTTATTTATGGCGCTAAACCCTAGTTTTGTCCGTACAAAATCTTTCATATGGAGTTGTTGACAAGCACAGTTCCCGACTAGATTATCCTGTTCCATGACAATTGATTTATAATAACAAAATATAAATTAATTTGTTTTAATGCCTTATATTATATTTTATGGTTTTTATATAGTTTAGCCTACATGCTTGTTCTGAAGAAATTTATAACTATTAAATAGGTACTTGATTTCATAGAATAGTATGTTAGTAATACTAGTAATGAAGTAAGCTCCTTCCTTACTAACACTTTCAATCTTATACATTTACTAAAAAGTTTGTTTTTATCTTAATAGTAATGAACAAAATTTAAATTTCGTTTTAATTCTATTTTTAACATGTTATTAGTTTTGGAGACGTGTCTATTATTAGTTAGCTGTTTAATTACTTCTGACAATTCTTGACAGTTGAACGTATTTTTGGATATTCGCTGCCTATTTTAGAGTTTCCTGGAGGGAGTGTGACATATTACTTACAATGCAGCTGTAAACTTTTAAATGCGTATGACAAGAGGAGTTGTATTTATCCTGCTATTATTGTAGCGATTATTTAACCCAGTGATAAGTTCATAATCAATTACCGTTGTTTTTTTTAATTACAAGTTGTATGAATAATATGAAGATTGCGAGATAATCTGACACAACGAGGAAGGAATTTTTTCCCAAATAGGGTCTCTCGAGGGTTACATTACGATATTTGATTTCAGTATCGCTTTGCATACTATCATAGAAGCATTAAAATATATCGATTGAATTTTCACTGTTTCGAAACACTACAGACAATATTTCTGTTGGCCTAGTGACCTTTCGAATGCAGGCCGTTAAAGTGGCAGTCAAGATGTGACTAAGCGATACGGGGTCGTATAAGATCTCTCATTGAACAATAGCAATTATTCACATTAAAACCCACTTGATATTTTGTTGAATGGTGCTCAATTTTGTTGAGTAACGTGTCTAACTTCCACGACCCGGCGCTCGTGTCATATCCAGGTTGTCGTAAGATGTTTCCTGTATTAACAAGGGTGAATAACTTTCCTACATGATATTTCTCAATTGTTTTTAATAATTTTATAAATTAATGATCCCAACTATATCATTTTAAAAGAAGTTTTAAGCTGAAGAACTGTGGTAACACTGTTTGTTGATCCCATTATAATATAGGAATATGACGAGAGAAATTCTTATATTAATTTTACGAATTTAAGTTATATTTATATACAGAGTGTCTCAGTTATTAATGGTTGAACTTTGGAGGAGGGGGGGGAGGAGGTTGATTCTAGACATAATTTCCAACAAAAAAGTTCATTTGATGCATGAGCCGATTCAGTCTTTGTCTTGGTCTTGCAACAGCCAGGAGATATTTGTCTTGGTCTTGCAAAGTCGAAGAATAAGACTGAACTGAAGACTTGCTCAAGACCAAGACCAAGACTGAGTGCGTAAGACCAAGACTTAGTGCGCATTTGGGCAACACTCATTCGATCTATCCAAATGGTTTTTAAATAGTTAAAGTATTTGATCCATTGTCGTGCATTGACACCTTTGTGGTGGAAACCGATGAATACCTTTTCGTTCTTTAAGCTTATCTCTCGAACGGTTGCGAACATGATAAATTATAAAACGAGAAAGTCTAAATGAACAAATCGGACATCCACACACAAGGAAACCGGTTCGAATAAAATCGGTTGCCAGTTTTTAGTGAAAATATTTGATTCAGCATAATTATCCTCTTTTGGATCAAATATTCAAACAACAATTTGCCTACACCAGAAATATATATATTTCTTTATTCATTTTCAAATTCTTTCATAGCTTATGTTTCTCCTTTAATTATAATTACTAATAATGAGTAAGTAAGTTACATATCGGACAGTTGTCGTCCTGCTCACCTGTCCAACTGATTAAAATTAATAAAGAAATTTTTAAATTAATTTTACGAATTTAAGTTATATTTATATACAAGGTGTCTCAGTTATTAATGGTTGAACTTTGGATGAGGGGGGGGGGGCTTGATTCTAGACATAATTTCCAACAGAAAAGTTCATTTGATGCATGAGCCGATTTCGAACGGAAAAGTAGTTGAGAGAAATTTTGTGTTTTATTTTTTTAAGGTTTTATTTTTATTCACGGTTTTTATTTAATAAGGCGGAATTTATCAAAAACTGTTAAAGGTAATCAAATTCCAAGTACACCGTAATAAAGTAAACAAAATTTTCTTTGAGAAAACAGTGAATAAATTTACTAAGGTCAATTATAAAAGGGACTTTCAGGAGGTACAATAACGCAAAGCCTACCATGCCGAATTATTTAACGAATCGAGATTACAGAGATATGCTGCTCGGATATGGGTACTGTAACTACAGCAGTAGAGCGGCCGTATTTGACCTCCCCTGAAAGTCCCTTTTATCATTGACTTTATTAAATTTAATCACCGTTTTCTCAAAAAACCTTTGTCTACTTTAATATGGTGTACTTGGAATTTTATTTTTTTTATTTTAATATTTTAATATAGAATATTAATTATAAATAAAAAGAAAATTCTTAAGATTAATTTTTATAATTGCATACATTAAAATAAAAAACAACAAAAAGATGGTCACAGTTAGTGTTGCCCAAAATCGGTCTTAGTCTTGCACTCTGCAAGACCAGGACCAGACTGGTAAAAAAAAAAATCGATTTTTTAAATAAAAATTAAATCAAAATAGTTACTGAAATTTGACAATCTTAGTTACTATATGTTAATAATTTGTATAACCAATATACTTTTGAATATTTAATAGTTGACCGTTGCATTATAAAGGAAGGAGATGGTCCGGGGTTGCGGTCATAAATAGGCTAAATAGTGGTAAAACTATTTTATTGAAAGCCGACGTTTCGACCCGACTTTGCTGGTCTTCATCAGGGAGGTGTGTTCATCAAGGAGTTTCACTTAGAACTGAAATAAAATAATAATAATTGGTAATTGGTTGACTGTCGTGGATAATGAAGAGAAGAATAGTTGGGGTGCTCAGTCAAAAAAAAATTATAATATTTATTTTTTACATCTTCCGACGTTTCGACCTGATGATGGCCTGAACTTATTTATTTTTGCCTTCCTTTTTTGACTGAGCACCCCAACTATTCTTCTCTTCATGAAATAAAATAGTTTTACCACTATTTAGCCTATTTATGACCGCAACCCCGGACCATCTCCTTCCAATATACTTTTGCATTTAACTGTTCTAATTTTTCATTCGTGCTTGGTTTGGTTTCTCCTATCTAAAAAATTACGATAATATCTCTATAGTAATAAACTAATAAGTAACTGCAAGACTGTTGCGAGACTCTTGCACAAGACCAAGACCATGAACAAGACTGAGTTTGCAAAACTCTTCTCGGTCTCGCATTTGGGCAACACTAGTCACAGTTTTTATTTTTTTATTTTAATATATGTTATTCATGTATAATTATTGTCCACGAGACAGAATATTTTATGTCTAAATAAATAAATAAAATCTATGTAATTATAAAAATTAATCTTAAGAATTTTCTTTTCACTTATAATTAATATGTTTGTTTTTTTTCTCTTGGCTTTCCACACCTTGCACATCTTTTGCGCGACTTAACCAGCCATCTCCATTTCTCTCTTTGCCTATCTTATTCTATTTCTTTCCAGTTATCTGCATGCATTAGTGTTGGCCAAAATCTTGCACTTTGCAACCAAGACCAAGACTGTTAAAAAAAAAATCGTTTTTATAAATAAAAAATTAAGGCAAAATAGTTACTAATACTTGACAATGTTAGTTACTATATGTGAGGAATTGGTATAATATACCAATATACTTTTGCATTTAACTCTTCTAATTTTTCTTTGGGGCTTAGTTAGGTTTCTTCTATCTAAACAATTACAGTAGTATATCTATAGTAATTATTATTGCCCAATTGCTCAAGAGCTTGGTCCTGCGCAAGAGTCTCGCAACAGTTTTGCAGTTACCCATTAGCCTATTACTATAGAGATGTTACTTTCATTTTTCAGATAAAGGAAACCTAATTAAGCCCGATTAAAAATTTAGAAGAGTTAAATGCAGATGTATATTGGTTATACCAATTCTTCACATATAAAATTGTCAAGTTTTAGTAGCTATTTCCTTAATTTTTATTCATTAAAAATTTTTTTTTAACAGTCTTGGTCTTGGTCTTGCAACAGCCAGGAGATATTGGTCTTGGTCTTGCAAAGTCCAAGAATGAGACCGAACCGAAGACTCTTGCTCAAGACCAAGACCGAGTGCGTAAGTCTAAGACTTGGGGCAACACTAGCATGCAGCTCTGCAACATCTTTGTTCATTCGATATATCCAACTGGTTTTTAAATAGTTAAAGTGCTTTGATCCATTGTCGCTCCTTGACACCTTCGTGGTGGAAACCGATGAATACCTTTTCGTTTTCGTACTTTACCACACTCTTTAAGCTTATCCCTCGAACGATTGCGAACATGATAAATTATAAATCGAGAAAGTCTAAATGAACAAATCGGACATCCACACATAAGGAAAACCATTCGAATAAAATCGGTTGCCAGTTGTTTGTGAAAATATTTGATTCAGCATAATTATCTTCTTCTGGATCAAATATTTTCACAAACAACAATTTACCTACACAAGGAATATATATATTTCTTTATTAATTTTC